CAGTAATGGCACGCGGATTGCATGCAATTTTGCCTCCCATTGATGTAGTTGTTGGTTCAATAGCAAATGCAGATCCATCCTGCCCTGATGAGGGAGACTCACTCTTTTCTTTTAGTACAGGATTTTTGTTATCATTGATGAAATTCATGGTACCAAACAGAAAATTTAGGATTTTTGTTATAGTTTTAGTTTGGACATTGATTTTTTTCACTTTCCAATTAAACTTATTTGAAGGTGGGAAGATGGTTTAGCTGGGAGAGGGGAATATGAATCTGATGGCAGTATTAAGACTCAAGTTGTTAGATCTCCTTTTGTTCAGGTAATATTGAATTCAAAGAAAGAAACAAACCTTTGATATTGAGATTGTGGTTACTGCTTGAATACGGGCTCTACTCTTTTTTGCAGATTCCACTTGGAGTCACAGAAGATAGACTCATTGGATCTGTTGATGTTGAGGAGTCTGTGAAAACAGGAACAACTGTCTTTCAACCAGGTCTTCTGGCTGAAGCTCACAGAGGTGTTCTATATGTGGACGAAATTAATCTTTTGGATGAGGGCATCAGCAATTTGCTTCTGAATGTGCTGACGGAAGGACTTAATATTGTGGAACGAGAGGGAATCAGCTTTAAGCATCCCTGCAAGCCACTCTTGATTGCTACATATAATCCAGAAGAGGGTGCTGTGCGTGAACATTTATTAGATCGTATTGCGATTAACTTGAGGTACAGTCCAGCTTTTAGCTCATCGAAGGGCCTAGTTAGGTTGTGCTTCTCTTTCTCATTTCGCTTATGGCATACTTTCTTTGCAGCGCAGATCTTCCTATGAGTTTTGAAGATCGTGTTGCAGCTGTTGATATTGCAACACAATTTCAGGAATACAGTAATGATGTTTTTAAAATGGTTGAGGAAGAAACAGAGTATGCAAAGACTCAGGTAAACACAACTACAAGGATGTTTTTGAGGTAAATTTTTGTACTCAAGTTGGATGAGCCTGTAATGGGTTCCATTCTCCACTAGGTAATGGCGCTTCTGGCATAATTCCTTTTAACTTTTCAATAATAATATTTTCTGCAGTGTAAATCTCTCAGGCATACCTTCCTAATTTCCTTGGTGTATATTGGCTAAAAAGTAAAACATAAAATCTATCCTTATGGATGAATGAAGTAGGGAAATTGGTGGAGGAAGAGTTTTTTTGTGGGGTTTGCTATTTCTTGAAAGAAAGCTAAAACCCTTAGAAGTCCAACAAAGTTCCAAATCATTCTTAGAAAAGTTCATCCTGAAATATGCTGGAAGTAATTCAATGACTGATATTATTATTTTTGTTCAGCCTCATAGTCACCAACGTTGGCAATCAATTTTGCTTATTTTAAATGCTTGCTGGGTCGTTATCAAAGACCTCCTGGAATCCATTTGATTATTTTAGCTTTCCACACTTCTAACATTAAAAGATGACATTTATTTGTTGCCCCTATATTTCCTGGTTGCAGATCATTTTGGCAAGAGAGTATTTGAAGGATGTTAGTATCAGCAGGGAGCAAATAAAATACTTGGTTATGGAAGCTGTTCGAGGTGGTTGTCAGGTCCGATACTGTAAATGGTTTTCTTTTACTTTTTCAGATAGATTTTAGATTACTTTGGATAAAGAAATCAAGTCAAGCCTGTAACTAGCTCATTTCTCTTTTTTCCCCCCCTGCATATTTGACCGAAAAAAGTTCATACTTAAATTCTCCTTGCTGAAGAGGCAGTTGATTCCACACCGTGCCTAGAGGCCAAGTGACCATCATAGTTCAAACCACAAGCCTTTTGTTCGGGTTGGTTAAGCAAAACATTCTTCACCTTTTATCTGCATCTTAGGGAAAAGACAGGTGAAACATTTTCATTAGAAACATTTTAAAGTTATAAAACCTGCTCGTCATATTCCAACCTGAGACATTGACTTGAATGTTGGCTACTTTCTTGCTTTTTATGAGTAAACACCGTGGCCCAAGTTTTTATAATTTGTCTTGCTAACTTTTGGAGCGGACATGCCTTGTAGACGAACATCACCAACTTGGATACAAGGATGGCAAGCTGTACTAACCTGGGTGGTCAATTTAGTTAAGTATTCAAAGCAGGCTGAAAAGATGGAAATAAGATAAAAAAATTAATAAACCATCTCATATCAATGAGTAAGCAAATAACTCTCTTGATGAAGGGATATACTTTTGTAAAGAAATTTTTTGCTTTGAGTTGTCAACCCACAGTAGTCTTTAGTGAAAAACAAGGACAATAATTTTCATAGTTTAAGAACATTCTAAAGGCAAAAATAGAGGTGCAAAGTATTTCTTACTGATTCACAAATTTTCTCATTGGTACTAGAAATAATGGTACCGTATGTATGGAAGTTACACTGCCTATTTTGTTTTGCAGGGTCACAGAGCTGAGCTGTATGCTGCACGTGTCGCAAAGTGCTTAGCTGCTCTGGAAGGGCGGGAAAAAGTTAATGTGGATGACCTCAAAAAAGCTGTTAAGTATTCTTCTGGAACATGATGCTTATGCCTTTATTTTCATTTCATTGTCTGTGCACACACCCAAGATGTTAGCATTTGCAAATTCCAACAACTTGTTAGAAGAATGATATGTTTCCATTCCTCTTAGCCCACTCCCCATTATGTAATTTCTGCATCTGCAAATTCTTTAACCAAATTTTGGGTACCATTAGTGCTTATCCGTGATATGGTGTGCTTGTTATTTGCTTTGTAAGTGATACCTGGTTGTCTTCCTATTTGTCTGCAGACAATCACATAAAGATAAAAAAAGTTATCCAGACATTTTGCATTTTCTTTTTCTCATCCACATTTTTTGCTTTATTAGTATTACACCAATGTTGGAGGTAAGCTTTGTACAGCTGCAGAAATTATGGTGAAACCCATATTGGGGAAAAGGCAAGGGGTCTCAGCCACCTTCTAGAACTCAAATCTTAGATCATAATATGGTATTTCAAATGTTAAAAGTAGATAATATCTTTTCATGATCCTTCATTTGTTATGTACAGTTCTTTTGGGATGGGAGTGTTGTGAGAAGTTCCTGTTTTATAAAGCAATATACAAAACTTAACACAACTCAATGGTTTGATGTTTGATGCAGGTAGAGCTGGTCATTCTTCCTCGTTCCATTGTTAGTGATAACCCACCAGAACAACAAAACCAACAGCCTCCACCTCCACCACCTCCTCCACAAAATCAAGAATCTGCAGATGAGGAGCAGAATGAGGAAGATAAAGAGGTTTGTTTCAATTGTCAGTATGATGCATTAAATTATGCATTTTTTAACTTTATTTGAAGGATCATTCTTTGAATCAATTAAGTTCAGCAATCATGTTATTAGCTGTTGCCTTACACATATATAGAAATGAACAATTTTAGTGGGGGATAAGTGCTCTTAAAGTGTGCAGTTTTTTTTATTAACAGGATGAGAGTGATGAAGAGAATGAGCAACAGCAGGAACAAATACCAGAAGAATTTATCTTTGATGCAGAAGGAGGTTTAGTAGATGAGAAACTCCTTTTCTTTGCACAACAAGCACAGAGACGTAAGGGAAGGGCTGGGAGAGCAAAGAATGTGATATTTTCAGAGGATAGAGGAAGATACATTAAGCCAATGCTTCCAAAGGTTAGTTGTGTCCCTTTCCCAAAACCTTGCAAGAGACAGGCTTGATTGAGATGGGTGGAGCGACCTCACAAAAGCCTTCCAATTTTGTAACTAAAAGAAATTTGAGATGTAATGACCGTAAAAGCTGTATTTGCCAAACCACAGGCTTTAAGTTAATCTATGCTACCACTTTTTGCCATACTTTTCTAAGCTGCACCTTTTGTCTATGCAGGGTCCTATAAAGAGGTTAGCTGTTGATGCAACCCTTAGAGCTGCTGCACCATACCAAAAATTGCGTAGAGAGAGGGACACTCAAAAAAGTAGGAAAGTTTTTGTGGAGAAAACTGACATGAGAGCCAAAAGAATGGCAAGAAAAGCAGGAGCATTGGTAGCAATGAGTTACTCTTATTATTTGCATATATAGCACTGATATTATTTAATGAAAAAGAGATGCTATTTTTTATGCCAAAATACTCATGGTTTTACACTTCAATCTCCTACATATTGATTGCAGTACTTTCTTACTAAGTTTCAATTACAAAAACTTCTAGAATTCAGGTGGCATCAGTTGTCACAATGAAGCAAAATTGATTTCAAATTTATTAGTGAGAGAGATAATTTCCCATGGGAGTATATAGGCATGTATGCTTGATGTTTTCAACCAGTATATTTCTTTTCAGGTAATATTTGTTGTTGATGCAAGTGGAAGCATGGCATTGAACCGAATGCAAAATGCTAAAGGTGCAGCACTTAAGTTATTGGCTGAGAGTTATACAAGCAGAGATCAGGTAACTTTAACATATATCTGAACTTTCAAGGTTTAATAGACTGACAGTGGACTATTAGCCCCATCTTTTAATTTGATAATCTGTCTCTATTCAGCTTTAGAAATACATTTTATTGCTCCAAATATTTTTTTGTTCATATAATGAACTTTTGACCATTGGGCATCCTAACTAGTGATTACAAATTATACCACCAAGTTACCCTCAAGAGAATACAGGTAAAATATAAAAGGGGGAAAATGGGCCAGGAACAGGGTGATGGAACTGAAGAAGAAAGAATCGTAGATATAATATTGACAGGAAATACTACAACAGATGTAAATTTTTATTTTAGTTTAAACAACATGATGGAACACATAATTTTTCTGTTTCATTTGGGGGGGTTATTTTCTTTTTCTATATACATGTTATTTTCTGCTGCACTAACTGATTTCATTTATCTACTGCTAATCTAAATAGGTCTCCATTATTCCTTTCCGAGGAGATGCCGCAGAAGTCCTTCTGCCACCTTCTAGATCAATTGCAATGGCAAGAAAACGTCTTGAGAGACTTCCTTGTGGCGGTGGCTCTCCATTAGCTCATGGTTTAACGACAGTATGTTGATATTAACTATTCTGGACATTGCAACTTCTATTAGTCACGTCTATGACAGCAAATCTTGTCTTTAATCCTGCAATCTGTGCATGTTATCAATGATTTCCTTAATGTTTGAATTTCCTCTTTTCTAATGATAGATTGAACTTAAAAATGTCTAGGCTGTCAGGGTGGGGCTAAATGCAGAGAAAAGTGGGGACGTTGGACGTGTGATGATTGTTGCTATAACTGATGGCAGAGCCAACATATCACTTAAGAGATCGACAGACCCTGAAGCTGTTGCTTCTGATGCTCCAAGACCTTCAGCACAGGAATTGAAGGTAATGTAGCTTGTCCTGATATGATTCATCATTTTGACTATATATTGGAGCAGCTTTGACAATAAGCAATATCTTCACATAAACAGGTCATAATTGAAATACAAAAATATAATCCTTCATCAGTTGCTAGTTGCTATCATGCTGAAGGTTTTTTTTTTTTTTGGGAATTTGGCAAGCAATTCCATTGTAAAAAAGCTCATATTTACTATCATGCTGATGGTTTAATTGTTCTTCTTGGCCATATGTTCTGTAGGATGAGATTCTTGAGGTGGCCGGGAAAATATACAAAGCAGGGATGTCTCTTCTCGTCATTGACACAGAAAACAAGTTTGTGTCAACTGGTTTTGCCAAAGAGATCGCTAGAGTAGCTCAAGGTTTGCTTTTGGAACAGCATTTGCTTCTCAAATGCTTTGTCACAATGACAATAAATTACAAGTTGATAACGTTCTCCCATAAATTGTCTTGCAGGGAAGTATTATTACTTACCAAATGCTTCAGATGCTGTCATCTCTGCTACAACAAAGGATGCATTATCAGTTTTGAAAAACTCATGATCTGATTTTTCTTGTTCTTTCTAGTCACTCACATAATGGAACGGTATGCTGTCTGTAAACTGCAATTCACAGTAATAAACTTTTAGTTTTTGCTTGTCTGCTTGTCCCTTCAATCCTGATTCATGTAATGATTAAGCGAGAGAGGAAATAACTCGATTTGATCAATGAGTAGCTTTTTATTGAGAAGCAAATCAGGCAGCTAAAGAGGAATTGTATGACACAGTTGGAGATTGGATTCTGGCTTTTCAGGTTTGAAGTACAACTACAATCAATAATAATCAACAAAGGAACTCAAATTGGAAGAACAGTCCTAGATATCTTGACTTAAATTTTTCTTGTGTTTTCCATGGTGCCGGTCCTTCACCTGCTTCTCGACCTTTCCATTTGTGCTATTCTGGTTGCTAACAGAACCCTCCTGAGCACTGCACATTTGAGACTTTAACTTGAACCCGAATTTCTTCGAGACATTTCCCCAAGTGCTAGAACCCTTATCCCGACCTAACTTTTCAATTTCTTGCTTCATGTTGGTACACTCCTGCTCAAGCTCAGAAACCCGCATTCTCATGTTATCCATGCCCACCTTCAAGACCTGATTTTCTCTTACAGCCGTAGCCCAGCCTCCTTCGTTAGATCCTGCAAACCCGCTTCTTAATTGCCGTGATCCATCGAGGTTATCAGAAACTAGAAAGCAGCCGGCAATTGAAGTCCTGAGCTGAAGCTGTTCAAAGAAGAGGACTTGGACAACTATTCTTAGTGGCAGTCTTTCATTTTGTGCAGCATGAGTGCAGGCTTCCAAGGAGAGTTTCTGGCAGTCCATCAGCCGGCATAGTTGTTCCCTTTCGGATTCTGACAACCATGGGTGTGACTGAAAGATTTACAATCACAGAAAGACATTAGCTTCAAAACTACATTATCTATGCCCAACAATAAGATTATGAAATATACCCATATTCATTATCATGTTTCTCAAGTTGTTAGTACCTTCAGATAGATGTCAATTGCACGATAAAGACCATCATCCAAGGGCCTGGCATAGTCAGGAACAGAAGCAGCAAGAGCTTGAAACTTAGGGAGCTTCAAATTAACATCAGGGGCAACCTCTGCAAGGTACCCGTCAATCAGCTTGGCTACCATTGTGATTGGTGTCAAGGAAGGTGATCCAATCAACTGACCATCGTCAATTGAACATGGAGAGGCTCCACCTGTGATCTGGTCTATGGCAAGAAAATGTTCAAGAATCTGTTGCACACATTCAACATTGTAAAGTGTTTCCATGGAATAAGAGAAATTGGGCATTAGAAGATCTTCCAGAGTTGCTTGATCAAGTTGCATCCCTATCCTTTTCTCAAGATTTGATATGCAAGAGGGGCTTGCTCGAAGAATCATGGCCGTTCGAAGTAGTCCAAAGAGGAACTTAGCTGAGACAAGGCCCTTCTGCATTGGCAGCAAACTATCAATCTCTTCCAGTAAAAGCTTCTGCTCTTCTTCTGATGGTGGTGCCCCCAAGGCCACAGGTGGAAGACGGGAACTAGAATCATTTGCACTCTGACGCCTGTTCAAACCAGGTAGGTACTTTTTTGCATAAAAGCTAAGGGAACCAGCAATAATTTCCTGTCTAATGCCACGTGACTCCATGGCTGTGATTAATCTCTTATAGAGAGATAAACTTAATGTTGATGCATCCTCATACCACCAATCTGAACTTGTATTTTTTGGTCTGGCCCCTGTACTTATCCCATTCCACAAGACACTTCCACCTGGACTCTGCATGGGACCCCCATGCTCCATTATGGGCCATCCAAATAGATTGGGGTCAGTAGATGCCTTCATGGCTAATGACTCAATGCACCTCTTTGTAATGTGGAGTTCATCAGCATAAGGGAGAATATCATCACAGGTCTGGAGTGCTCTAAGGGAGTCTTTCCAATTACGGAGGACTACTTGATTGAGAAAGGTTTCGGTCTGTGTAATGAGATTGCCCTCCCCATATTCCTCAGTCATTTCGAGATGCTCAGCAGCACACCGAAGGTACACCACATTCGAAGCTGTGAGTTCAAGTTTCACCCCATAGCAGAATTTGGCAACAAGTTCAAATGTTTTGGCACCACCAGGAATGTCAGGGAGGTTTATGGAACATTTTTCTTCTTCTTCAGATGCTTCTGCAATCAATCTTTCCATTACTCCACTTTTAGAGAGTAGAGGGAACTGCACAGAGAGATGACAATTGGAAAGGAATTATTTTGATAATCAACAATGAAAACTCAGAAAAAGAAACTACACTAGCAGATTCTATAAGACAATAATTATGCATATAAGCTAAAAAATATCAGAATGAGGAGCTCAAAAATGATGAAGCCCATGATAGAGCAAAGACAGGACGAGAACTAACTCCCTTAAGCCTGAACCCTGATCTTGACCACATGTGCCCAGACTAAAAGAGACAGGATATTCATTCAAAATGAGAACTCTGAATTAGAGTCAACCTTATAATATCGATATTGAGACTGATCTTAATCCACATCAGTACTGCCACTGCTAGTTTAAATAGCATCTGGCTGATTTTGGTTTGCATAGGAAGAGGCAACTCCATGTCCACTTAAAAGAAATCGATAGTCATCCAAAAAAAAAAAAAAAGGGAAAGTAGAAAAAGAAAGATGGAATCTCATGAAGATGAGAGCTGGTGAAGATATAATAGACAGATTTAGTAATTAGGAGTTCAAATCTGATCAGCATGTCATGCATCAAATATTATATGGTGTACCACTTCTATTGCCTAACGGAGCATTGTCTATCAACAAAATATAAAAGTATGATTTCAATAACATTTAGAAATGATCTAGTGAATCTCACGATTCTCACCAACCATCATAGGTTAAGTACTCAGTAAGCATGAATACATCAGAAAAAAGTGGATACACATGATCAGGAGAAATATTACCTTGTGGAGATGAAAGGACATTTCTCCAACTTCAACAACAATATCACTAGGCAGCCCAGTTGTGCAGAACCTATAGTCACAACACAAAAGTAATCACATATAAGAGATGCAGAGAATTTGTGTTACAGAGATATCATCCATTGTTATAGGACCGGTATCAGTATGTAACCCTATGAAAAATAGTTTCATATACAAGCCAAGTCTCCTATTACATACCCAGATCCATTTACCCAAATCTGCTAACTGTTGTATTAGCATATCGAATCACACTACCAATCTGTTAAAGTATTTAACAAAACAGCTATATACTTCTATGACCAAGTTAGAAATCTTAAAATCTGTTTCTTAAATGACTAAAGAGTGTCTTAATAAGAAAAGACTGATAATTCCTAAGAGAGAAAGACAGAATTTTGAATTACAGAGACTAGGGTACATACCAGGCTTGGCCTTGCCTTTGAAATGCATCATTCTTGGATCCCAATTTCACACAAGCCATTTTCTCAGAGTGCGATAAGGATAAAACTTCAACAACAGAACTGCAAACAGGGTGCCTCAGGAGCCAAAGACAGCTCCTTTAATCACACTGGAAACCAAGTAGACCCGTTCGTCAAGGCAATAATCCAATAACCTCAAAATAAAAACAAAAACCCAGTTAATTTTTACCCTTGAACACATCTCCC